TTTTATCTACAGCTACATACTTAACCGAACATCAAGCAATAAATTTGTCATCATTTTGTCAATATTTAATGTTTGTAACATATCATGAAATACATAAATGTTATATGTTCGTCAAAATATTTTAATACCACATTGAGATATATTAAAATAAAATTCAGTCACACATAAACTTAAATTAGTTTCCAAGTGTTGAATCACATTCCATATTTTACACATTTAATTCTTTGTCAAAAACCTTAAGATATTTAAACATTTACAGGCTTAGCAATCTGCAAAGTTTGAACTGAGTATAACGTTAGCGATTCATTAAGTCAAACATTTTAAATATTTTTTTTTACAATTCATTGTTTTCCGAATACTATAAACTATTAAAAGAGTCAATCTGTACAATAACATCAAGTTTTATACGTCGAATTGATGAAGAAAAATGAACTTATTTCACCAAATCAAAAATTCTAATATTTTATGCCTAATTGAAGAAAACCTGAACTCTGACTGGCAGTTCTTGAAAATGGGACAAATTTAAATTAATGCTTAGTCATTTGACATAAATTTTTAGACACAAAAGTGGCACAGTATTAATGATAGACAATAATTAATCAGATAATGCAACTGAATTGATTGGAATTTAAATTCATGAATGTTTATATAGGCTAGGTAAAGAGAATTTTGAAAATTAAAACACTTTCACCTCAATTGTACCTCTTGTATTGCCTCAAATTTAAATTTACTACGAATAAAAATAGAGATTACCTCCCAAATTAAATAAAGGTGAAACTTGATAAATCGATAATTTTTAGAGTTTCTTTTTTAGATATTTCAACATTTCGAGCATTAGGAACTACAATATACACACTTTAAAAACTAATTTTGAAAATACAAATTTTGAAACTACGTTTTTCAAGCAGATTAAAGGAAAAATGTCATGTTTGATCTAAAACAAAAAATCTAGGCATTTGAGGTCTCTTAATTAGTCGTAAATTGACTGAATCTTTGGAAATTCTCTAGCACAAATCTAATATTTGAGCAGAATAGTTAGTCAATCTAAATATACATCTTTTCGACTAAGTTCCCTTTTGATTTCTATTTGACGGTCAGAAAAATATTCACTTAGTTCTGTTATAAAGAGTCAAAAATCTATTTAGAAAGTTGACGGCGATAAAATTTGGACGTACATTATTGCTCAGTAGCCAGAAAATTTTAAACTTTCATTACTGTGCACGGAGTTTCATTAGAGATTTGATAGTTCTAGCTAGTCGGAAAGTGATTAAGATTCAAACCTCACTGACAATAAAAAAAGCTAAAATATTTAAAACTGAGTATTAAGATATTAAGTTTATTTTAAAATAGTATGCATCTACGATTAATCAGTTTTGTACAATTTCAGATTTTTAAAAATAATTTGGAAGCTTTGGAAATTCTGTTTGAAAGAAAAAAATTCAAAATATGTCCCCAAATTTTTTAAATAACTTAAAAATTCATTCATTTGAGACTTTTAAGTTCAATTTATGCAATTGAATCAAATTTAAATACATTATTTTCCTAAAAAAAAGGAGACTATCTTAAAATTTACGTTATAACACAGTGGCATTGTATTTTGAGTATCAGGAAAGGTTATTTTACAAGAGATTAATATTTTTAAAAAAATGCAATTAAGCTTTAAATATTTGGTACACTGTGTGGTTGGTCTAAAGACGTTAAAAAGAAACTAAAACCTCGAAGACGATTTCAAAAAATAATGAAATCAAACCTAGAAAAAAAAAATCTTTTTTACTCTAATCATTGACTCACTTTCTTATTTCAATATTTCTTTTACGTCCAACAATTTAGTGTAGATTAAAATATCTTTCTTTAAATTTAGACACATAGAATTAAGCACTTGAAATCTTCAAGTATTATATTAACAAATCTAATTTTACAAACTGGAAAAAATAGTTTAAGAATATTACACTGGTAAGAATTAAAACAATACAAGTTAAGGAGAAAAAATGCTTATCTTTGTTTTCTTCATGTACTTTCACAGATCCAGCAAACGTTTCCTTTATTATTGTAGTAGCATCTCCAGTTAAATTATAATTTCCACAGAAATCATTACCATGTAACCTGAAACAAATAATAGCATTAAGAGATAGCGTCTTTACTTTTAAAAAACTAAAATTACAGATACTTAAATCATAAAAGGATAACATAAATAATAAAATTGCATCAAAAGGTTGTAAAATATCTTGAACGCTGTGCTTCAAGATGTTATTAAAGTTGTCTATTAATTCCTGTATTTTCTTTAAAGAAATACCTGCATTCTCTTATAAATTTTTGCTTAAAAAGATAACTTCAGTTTTAAACGTTCGTATATGTTGAGTACGGAACCAAATGTTGCTGGTCAAACACTCCTTAAAAATTAGATTTAGAAAACTTATTTTCTAACTACAGTTACAGCAGGCGCGAGAAAGCAAAGTTATTTTTTATAAAGTAAGTGAATTTGTTTCCATTAAGTAAAACGTAATGAGAAAGTAAATAAAAAGTAGTATTGTAAAACAGTATTTTATTAATAATTACAAAATATTAGTTAGGATAAAAGGATAATTTTAAAACAAAATAGCTTTTAAAAATTAGGTAAAAAGTAGAAGTCAAAAATTAGTTTTTAAATAGTTTTCCAAAAAACTGTTTTTCTAATAAATAGTTCAATCACTCTATAAAAAAAGACAAGAGCATGAAAATAAGTTTGATTTTTCTATTATGAATTTTTGCAATTTTTTTTAGGGATAAATTGCGAAATGATATTAATATTTAACAAATTTTAAACTTTTAACAAGCATTTTTATCATATCATATCATATTTTATCATGCATATCATATTTTAAATGCTTTTTATAGAATCTAAAATAAAATACAGCTCCTTTCTTTTAATTAAATTCTGAATGCGATGTACATATTAGGACTATAAGGATAATATTAAGATTAATTATTTAGTGTGCAGTAAAAAAAAATGAGGTCCATTTACTTCATGAAAATAATGTCAAAATAGCTTGAAAATAACAATAAGTATAACACTTTATTGAAGATTTAACTACTTATTTTATGCTCTTTGAACACGTAAAAAAGTAAACTGAAATACATTAAACTTTAAATATAATCCAGTAAAAACTTTGAAAACTTGACCTGCTAATTTAAAAAGAATATACTAGATGCAAGAAGTAACGATAGTAAACTTACCTTTTAGGATTGAACTTAGAAAACTTTCAGGGCCCACAAACTTCAATACGAAGGCATATTATTCAATTGCGTTTGCAATACTCGTGGGCAAAGAAAAATGAATCGATGAGCTTTTATATACGTTTTTTTAAAAAAATGTGCGTGAAATCACTTCCGGTCACTTGTGTTTGTTTAATTAGAGAAATTTTATATGTTTGGAACCGGGGCCTTCCATGCCGAGCGGTATCGCCCGCCAAACGGTCTTTTAAACGTGGAGGTGGCGGGTTCGAATCCCGCCGTAACACTGGATGTATTCTTTGGGATGTCCTTTTACTTGACAAAGGTTTATAAGCCTTAATTAAGCACACAAGCCTGCAAATGTTTATTGTATCAGTAAACAATATGCTTAGAACCTCCTCCTTGTGCTGGAAGTATTGTCCTTCTGATAACGCTTGCCCAGCAATGGACTGATCGTAAAGACGTGGCTCCCAGCGGAACACCGAAGTCAAGCATTACTGACTGCGGTCTGTAAGCGGGTGGGTGACCACTTTGATCATCATCCGTAGGGACCGAAGATGCGCGGTATCGGTCCACGTTAAACTGTGCCATCGTAAAGTGCTCGACTTTGCGCGCAGGTCGTCGGGCTACCAAAGATGGGGAGCCATCCCCTCTGCAGAGGATCAAATTGCGAAGGCACGTCTTCAGATCATCCTCGGGGATGTCTCCCAGATCGTCGCCAATAGCTCATTGTGCAGCTCTAGTGCGACGTAAATCAAATACCTAACTACCTTCTGATAACGCTATGAACAATTCCGTCAAACGCTGTGAACGTTGCGGGCCGTAAGTTCGATATATCTTTGAACTGTACTTTCTTATTTAGTAATTTCTGATCACAAGAATTATCACTTTGTATCGAGCACGCATGCACGTACGGTTGAATAAATAATTGTCGTCTTCGTGGCAACAAAATAGTGTCAATACGCTGAACACTTTGAAGTGTGAAGGCGTCGGATTCCTACTCCAAACCCTGAATATATAGGTCCTTTTTTTATCTGATGTCTATTCCCTTATCCCTTAATGGCAAATAATTGAGTACACAGGATTTTATTTATTGTTATATACTAGCTTGTATGCTCTTTTCAGGAGGCCGGAATATAGCTCGGATGGTAGAGCGTTGGACATGTCGAGAGATCTTGAGTTCGATCGCCTCCGGCAGAAGACGGGTTGGAAGGAGGTTTTCAAAATGATGACTAGTGCACGTTAAATCTGTCCGGGTCACAAAGTCTACCAAATTCCTATAACAAATCAATACCTCTGGGTGTACTGGATCTTAGATTGATCATGCTCTGGTTCAGGTCGAAATTATAATCTGTGGATGGGTGGTATGTAAATGTGTCTTCCCTGTCAAACGGGTAGTGACGTATGAATGTTGTCTCCCGATCATCCTCAGAGATGTTTCTCACACTGTCGCCAATAGCCCATTGTGCAGCTCTAGTGCGACGTAAATAAATGTACCTGTATGCTCTTCAGGAAGTACTGCTTATAAGATCTTGTCAATTTGTAGAACAGATAGTTCAAGTAAGAGAAAAACATCAGAAAGATGCATCCAGGATTGTTGCGGAATTCGAACCCGCTACGCCCACGCTGCAGAAGACTTTTCGGAATGGCGAGACTACTCAGAGATGAATAATGTGCATCAATATGATTCGCTTCAATTGCCAGGGTGGCCGTGAATCAAAGAACTTGATCATTAACAGAAAAAAGTCACGGATTCTTTCTACGAGAGTTACTGAATGAACTACACTGAAGTTACCAGTTGAAAAGTTTATCATTTAACAAGGGCTTTTAACTTTACATACACAAAAGCTTTTAACTTTAGAACTAGAGAGGGTCTTATATTTTGCCGGGATGAAATCGGTAACAACTGGTTTTTACTACTAGTCGAAACTTCTTTCGGAAAAGGTAAGTATAGGTACTTTATTTACGTTGCACTGTGGCTGCACAATTGGGTTATTGGCTGGCCTCAACAAAAACTCAAAATTCTAGGAATTATAACAACTGTGCTTTCTTAGGTTTGACAATTATGTTTAAATAATTATTTTTTTTAAAAAATTAAATTACTTTCTTGCTTGAGTAGTAAATATTCAGAGTTTTCGTTGTGGGCGGGTAACAAATATTTTGAAAGCAGATTTTTTTTTAATTAACAAATGATACAGTAATAATATCAAAATTTAATAATAATATTTTTCTTTGCCTCTCAATCAGATTTTGTCTCTGAAATTGTTTTTTCTTCTCAGTTGCTCTTTCAACTTTTTCTTCCTCGCTTTCTCTCTTTTTTGTTGATAATCTGCAAACTACTTAAGGGGATTTTCTTCGATTTCTTTCGGATAATTTCATGATCTTCTTCTGCTATTCCTTCTCCGGGAAAAGAGACTAATGTATATGTTACCGGCAAAGTATGCAATCCGGCATTATATATAATGCCTGAAACTAGCCGGCAAAGTATGAAAAGATTTATATTTCACACATTGCCTAGGCATTCTACAGAATGCCGGATGCTATTTAGGCAAAATATGAAATAAGCGTCCTGATGAGTACTATTATGTAAATGATGTGCATGTTACTGTGAATGACCGAAATCGGTGGTTATTGACTTTCACCGGTGAAAGTTGACAATCACATAGTCGCTTTGCTGAATATCCGAAATATGTATTACATCCGATTTGATATTAATTTATTCGTGGATATGATTACATTTATTCGATATTTTAATACTTACTGACGATAGATTTGAAGAAACATCAGTGTTTGGAGTATCGGGCAAATATATACCGGGCAATGATACTTGACCTTAAAAAAATATCAGTGTAGGGTATACCGTTCAAATGTATACCAAACAGTGGCACTTGACCTTAAAAATCATCAGTGTAGGGTATACCGGGCAGTGGCACTTAACTAGACCTAGTATAAATTTAGGACATTCACCAAAGATCTAGTCATACTAGGTCTAGTTAGGTGCCACTGCCCGGTATACATTTGCCCGGTATACCCTACAGTGAAGTTTTGAAGGTCAAGCTTCTTTCAAAGCAGGGCAACACTCTCACCTAAATAGTTTGAGTTTCTGGTCTGGACGAACCCTTTCGAGGGTATTAACTTTAATTCTGCACTCACTTGCAGAAGATTAAAATTTAAAATATAACTGGAATTTAAAAACTGGAATTTTTCTTGTGTTTTATGTGTATTATTATCTGTATATCTGCGTGTGTATATATATATATATATATATTAAATAAAATTATAGAGAAAACATGGAAAATAGTAAAGATTAAGGAAAAGAGAAGAAATATTATTAAAATAAAATAAAATGTAAAACAAATTCTAAAATTTAGCATTTTGTTTCAATTTTCTTCGTTTTTATTCTCTTTACTTTTTATCTTTTTTATCTTCATTGTGTTTTTGGACAATGACTTGGGGGCCATTCTCAAATTCATCACGAATTAAGAAAATCTTTGCAGATAGAATGTTAAAAATTTCTTTTTTTATTTTTTATTTATGAGCCAATTTTCTAAATTTTACAATTATTGGATAGAAGAAGACAAAACTACGTAATTAATCAATTAAAATGCTGAAAATATTTAGATAAAGTGGAAATATCGGAATATTTTGGGGGGGAATTTTTTACTGGGAAGTAACACTTCTTCTTATAATTTTAAATATCATACTTTGCAATCTTTCAATATTAAAAAAAAATCAAGGGTGTGTTAAATGAAGTTTCATTAACTCAAATGAAGATTTAAAAAAAGAAGAAAAAATGTCATATAATTAGAAACATTTTCGTAGATTACTCAAAAACAGTCAACCCAATTAAAATGTCCCACGAAAACTACATTTGATGTAAATGTTACCGTTAATGGCCATTTTCACCGGTGAATACTAACAATCACATAGTTGCTTTGGTGTATATAAGAAATATTTGTTTTATCCGATTTGATCTTAATTTATCACTTGATATTTTTACATTTATTCGATATTTTAATNCATTAAATATTAGTGTCAGTATATATATATATGATAGAAACTAATAACTAAACTGTGTGAAAGAAAATTAAGTCAATATATTGTTTAAAACCAATTAAGGAGGGGTTGAATAATTAGAATACAACTGTGCAATTGGTTGGGTAACCATTAAAGTTTATATGTTGTAAAAGATAATTTTGAATGGCCTAGTCTTATATATTTTTGCAAAATGATCTTTTCTAAAAATCGTATTTTATGCTGCATATTATTTTTGGACAAACTAGATTTACATTTCTGTGCAATTTTTTTTTTTTTTTTTTGATTCGCTTAAATAATTAGAGATAAATGAAGTAGTGCATTAAAGAGCACACTCCTGTCTGCTGGTACCCTATGTTTCAGATTGCCCTTGAATTTCAGGGCCAAAAAACTCCGGAATGCAAATTGTTCAAAGGAATTAGCCATGATGATTTTATAAGTTAAAATATTGTCTGCACAAATGAATCAGCCTATTTAAAGTTGTTTTTTTCGAACCATTAAGGTGCTATCTTAGCACGCGCAAAAATTCCGCATCGAAATTTTTTTGTTTTTCTTCCATTTTGAACATTGTATTTTTCAGGTAATTTTACCTTTACTTATAAATGTGGGCACATAAGATCACTTGTCATATCTTTTAAAGGATTCCGGGGGGGAGGGACATTTTAGGCTGCTACAGTATTTTTTACTCACATTCAAGAGACTCATTAAGGTTGATCTCCTTCAATTTGATTTCAGAATGAAGTTGACCTATATCCTGAATGGACCGAAGGGAAAAAAATGCATTGCTTTGTATTGCTCATTATCTAACAGAAAAATGTCTGCATTTTTAATAAATGTAGTTAGCTCTATCCATGTTTCCATAACGACATGGAAAACTTCTAAAAAGGCTCTTATGTTTTTGTGACTCACAAAAGATTACATATTTCATAAAAAGAAGAAGCGTTTTGCCCACAGGTAGGAATTCACTTTCATTAATTGTTAACTTTAGAATGAACATTTAATTCAATATTTATTTTAATTTTTTTACTACCCTAGGAGTTTTAATTTGACATTAAAGTGTATGAAATTTTGAAAAGAGAGAAAAAAAATTCTCTACTTTTATTGTTCAGAAAAAATTTTGAATTATGTTTATTAAAAGCAGTGTAGTGTTTTATCATAATCGACCCATTTCTTTTAATTTTGCAGTTTTTAATCTCTTTTTTTTTTCAATGATTTAAGTTCTTAAGATATAATAAAATTTAATATAAATAGAAAATACAATACATTACAAGATATTGTATTCTTATTTATTATTCTTACATATTATATGAATACTGCCCTTAAACGTATATGTATTCTTACATATACTTAACATATACTTAACATATTCTTACATAAACTTAATATGTATTCTTACATATTATATGAATTCACATCAATAGATATTACAGTGGGAATAAGTCAGCTGAAATGTAGAAAATCACAGGATGTTTAAAAAAAATAGTATTTTTCAGAGAGTAATGACGGAAAATGTCGTTTTTACTTTCAATTACGTAGCTCAGATGAACTCATAAATACAATGAAATACTTCTTTTTAAAAAAGATAAATTCATTAAATTTAATTAATAATTTTTAAGTGTTGCATAAAAATGGTAAGCTGTAATTTTTAGCATAATATAGAATATTTTCAAATTGTATATCTTCGCAGTTCGGTCATGAAACACAATGCGCTTCACTTAAATAATACATCCATGAGTTAACCTGAATATCACTTCTCATAATTTTTTAGAACAATGAAAAACTCAGGTGGATAAATCTAATTTTATATATTCTTCGCTTTGCAAAGGTTCTTTAAGATGCATATATCGTCTGGCATTTCAGGCATCCAATTAGTTACGTGCCATAAAGCCGTTTGAGAAGAAACTTAGATGTCAATTGAAGCACAATTCGTTGGTTAATTATGTTCGAACCACAGTTCTAGAAAATGATTGTGAGTTCTGTTTTGGAATGGCTGTTTTATTAAAATCCAGTGCTGTCTTCGCAATCCTTGGCTCCTACAAAATGGGAGATAAGACTTTCTTGAAAACGCTTACATGTTTACAAAGAATCGTAGACGCTCAGGGTATAGAGTTCTCACCTCCGAATGAGGCGTTAGAATCCCAGAGATGGCTGGTCGAAATCAAGAGAATGTCGACTTTCACAGGTGAATGCCAGCAATCACATAGTCGCTCTGGTGAATGTCTGAAATCTTTGTTATTATCCGATTTGATATTAATTTATTCGTTGATATTATTCGATATTTAATTATATCTGCTGAAGGTAGACTTGGAGTAACATCAGTGTTCGGAATACCGGGAAAATGTATTCCGGGTAATGGCATTGAACCTTAAAAAAACATAAGTGTAGGGTATACCGGACAGTGGCACTTAGCTAAACCTAATATATATTTCGGACATTTACCAAAGCGACTATGTATATTGTAGGCCTTATAGTTAGTCTATAGTAGCTGATTTTGTGGAGTGTAGAAAAATCCAAAATGGCTGACGAATTTTTGAAATCGGAGGGAAACTTAGCGACAGGACTTTGTAAGATTTTTGTGTGGGACTACCAGAGTTCCCCATTAACACATCCCAATGGGTACTGACATTCTAATAATAAGTTTAGTTCCAAAACAAATCACTATTTCCACACAAAAAACGAAATATTTAAAAAATCATATTTTTTCCTAAATATTTTTATATTTTGACACATCCAAATTTCTTATTTTCTATTTCAAAAGCATTACTTTATACACATTTTATTGAAATAATGAATGCTCTAGCCCAGGGGTTTCCAACTTGCATGAGGCCGGAGGCCACAATTAAAAACACAAATCGAATGGCGGGCCGCAACTTTATCAAAAAGTTTTGTAGGACTCTTTTATGTTTGAAGCAACATTAAATATTAGTGTCAGAGTTTTACCAAGTTGTACAAAACAAAAGTGTTGATTTACAAATTAAAATAGGAAGTAGATTTTTAAAATATTTAATTTTTATTAAAAGCATTTTTAAAAATAGTAAACAAATAATAAAAATCCGGGCTACAATAACTTAATGTGCACCTATGTATTAAACAATTAATGTGCAACAGATATCTAATTGTTAAGGTATTAAAACTTACATAGTAGCATACGAAATATTCAATGAGAAAATTGAGGTTCGTCTGCTGCAACCACCAGAGAATAGATTTTGCAATTTAAATTTAAAATTGACAAACGCGTGTGAAAATATTTTCGTCCAAAATGAGTGGTTTCAAAAAGTTAAATCGGAGAATTTCTTCGAGAAAATTTCTATTCACCAAATCTACGATTTTANTTGTATTTGAATAAATATTTTCTTGGATGCAAAACCTGAAAAATAAATTTCTTTGCACAGTTGGTATATTAAATTTCACAGAAGCGAAGAAACTAGGTTTTTATGAACGAGAAAAGTATTTTAAACACATCTAGATTTTTTGCGAAAATATTCCTAAAAAAAATGACAACTAATATATTTTAGTTCGAGATTATATTTTAATATATTTTAATATATTTTAGTTTACAAAATATTTAATATATTTAATATATTAATTTAATATATTTTAGTTTATTTAATATATTTTAGTTTACAAAAAAAGGATTCGCGTTCCGGATGCGGCCCCCGGGCCGCCAGTTGGAAAACCCTGCTCTAGCCCTAATAGTTCACTTGAAGTAGCAGTCTTTATTAATCTTAGAAAAATCCAATACGGCCGGCTTCTTTTTCAAAATGGTGGAAAATCTATCTACAGATCTTTAGGGATTTTCATCTGAGACCACTTGACCTCCCCCCCCCCAAAAAAAAATTTTCCAATTTGTCCCTACTTATTATTTTGAATATTTGGGTTTGGTCAAATATTCGTTGAATTTGACGGAACTATTAGAAAATACCTGGTACGATGTTTGACTTTTTTTCCTCAGCTCATCCAAAATGCAACAGAAGTTCTAGAACCATGCATAATGGCCTACACTGTGAGAGTCTGCCCTACCCATGGAAGGGTGTGGTTTCCATCATCATCCGATCGGAGGAAGAAGAGGAAGAAGAACGAATTGTCGGATTCCGACGAAGAGAAGACGGTCTGGGAATATTGCAGAAAAGTGTTCGGAAGTTCCTCTGTGAGTGGTGTCAATCATATAGCACTCGCCAAAACTAAGAGGAGGAGATTCTTCTGGGCTTTCATCTTCCTGGCCACTCTCGTTGGCTTCTTCTATCAGTTTGGCGCCTTTCTTCTCCAATACAGAGAGTTTCAATCCATTGTTCAAATAGATATACAGAACGCTGGATCGCTCATGTTTCCTGCCGTCACTCTCTGCAACGCCAACAGGTACTTCATGATTGAATGTCTATTTAAACTCTTATTTCCCTCCATTTTTCACAGGATAGTTATAATCACCTTTATTTCAAGTATAATCACTGCTACAAGAGTACCAAAAAAAGATAACAGAGAACGATCCATCTCTAATTCAGCGCCCCCATAGGTATAATTTGTTATGAGAACATGAAGGACTATGTGACCCGACAGATTTAACATGTGTCAGTCACCATTTACTACACGGGGAGTCTTCGGTCGGCTGGATTTGAACTCCGGTTCTCATGAACTTGAATCCAGCGCCCTGCCAACCAGGCTATTCTGGTCCATTTTAGTCTCGCGTAAAATATTAATGTACAAACATTTTGTGTTGTTCAGAACAAGCACTTTTAAATTAATACTAAATGCCTAATTTGATAGTTGCCAGATTTGGCAAATGAGAAGTGTTTCATCTTTCGAAGATTCGTCCCATGAATTAAAAGAAAATGAGTAAACGCCCACGAAAGTGGTGCAGCCGATTCAGAAGACACACTTCAGAATCGGAAACAAATATGCATATTCTCTTAATGACGTTCTAGGAGTATACAGTCTTTAACAATTTTTTACAGCTCCCAGAACGTCATTAAAAGATTATGCAATTGTAGTTCCGATTTTGAAGTGTGTGTGTGTACAAATAAAGCATTGACGCATATCTTTTTTTTTTTCTTTCTAGATTCAAGAAATCCTCATTTTGTAGCAAGTTTCGTGATTTCTGCCCTCGAAATTTATCTGCAATGGATGTGAGTATATATATTAAAAAAAAAATTTTTTTTTCACTTACAAAAGACTTTTGAAATGTTGACTAAAATGTATGAAAATATTATTCAAATTTTGGTGTTCAAAATTAAAAGAATTTTTAGATTTATTCGGTTATCAACAAAATTAATTAACCGATTTTGAAAGATTTTTATATCCTTGGGCCGGGCAGGGTTGACTCAACCTTTCATCCCTTCAGTGGGTCGATAAATGAGTACTCCAGTGTTTTGTTCCAAGTACCCTAGTGTTTAGTACGCGGAACCCCAGTGTTTAGTTCCAAGCATGCTTGGGAACTAAACACTGGGGGTTCCGCGTTCGGCTGACCAAATGACCGGAACATCTGCTCCTGCACCCCAGAGCCCAAGGTCAAGAAAACTGAGATCGGCACAGTAGGTCTTGGCCCTCTATGGTCTGTCGCGCCATTGAGTTTAGTTCTTTTAGCCTTGTAATTTTGGACCTATCCAGAAGACAAAGAAACTCCTGGATCAGTACCCCAGGTGTATTGATTTATTATGGGAACATGGAGGACTTTGTGACTCGACAGATTTAATGCGCACTAGTCACCATTTACTACACAGGGAATCTTCGGTCGGCAAGGATCAAACCCGCGACCTCTTGGACTTGGGCCCAGTGCCCTACCAACCAGCCTATACCGGCCTAGAGTAAGCATTGGGTTAAACAAGCCTTCGTGGAGGACTTTAAATGAACGCTTTCATCAAAGAGGCATTATAAACTATCAACTTTTGAGGAAGCACTGTAATGGGTGAGCGCCATGGAATCAGAATTCGTACTGACCAGCCATCATAATCGAATAAATTATTTTAATTTTGAACACCGGTGAGCATGAGATAATTCGCTTGCTACTTAAAATGCTTGCTGATTAAAATGATGTACTAGAGATTAAAATGTCCCTTTTTCATCTCTAGTCTTTAACAGAGAAGGAGCTTTTCAACTTTCAGTTGACTATTCTAAGGGAAGGTCGTTCCGATCTAAGACACTCATTGGGACATTCCATGGAAGATCTGCTGGTCAGTTGTGCTTTTACAGGCAAGCCAACTATCAGAGGAGATGCCTGCTTTCGGTAAATATCTAGCATTTTGCAATGTTAAATGCTTCCTCAAATTTAAACATTTTATTTGTATTTTAACACAAAAAAGAAAGTGTTGATTGATAACAATTCGCTAATATTTAAAAAAAAAAAAACTTTATTTTACGTTATAACAATGTTTCCTTTAATGGTTACATACGTTCTTCGTCTTGGTTCATTGTGCGCATGCGCATTCATTCTCCAGCAACTGCTTGATACAAAAAGTAGTGTGACGAAACACTCGTGCTTGCTGTAATCAGGACGTGAAGCATCGTTTCTTGACATTTTTTTTTAGTGGAAAGTGGTTGACTCCATCTTTTTCTATTCAGAAACAATCACGCTTATGCACACATGACCCAGTAAAGTTGGGTTTCTTATGATACAATCAAGAACAGTTCGTTCAGAACAGTGTTAAAATAAACAAGTTTGTAATTCAAACATACGCATAGCAAGACAGACTCATTAGGCTTTACACAACAGAAGCGGAATTAAATATTTCATAAATTAGAAATTAAAATATCCTTATTATATAACTGACTGCTAACTTAAATAGACGTTCAACTAACACAGCCTTTTGATCTGTTCAACTACAGGCCCTGGCCAAATTATTAGATGCACTGTAAGATTCAGTGTAATTTGATCGAATTATTATCTGATATAATCAATATTCTGTATTTATATAATAAATCGTCGAATTTATCCAATAGTCGAATTTGCATTACATACCGTCTAATTTAACCAATTGATACACGTACGTAAACGAGTGCAAACCGGTTTCAGTCACGTAAAAACAATAAATTGACCTGATAATAACGATTTTACATATAATCTTATAGTGCGTCTAGTAATTTTTTCAGGGACTGTATAATATTTAAAATTGAAAAAATCTGTTAGTCTGATGTCTTAAAAAATGAAGGGAGGATTTGTTGCAGAAGATTCAAGGAGTTCTATGATCCAGACTTGGGTAACTGCTACACGCTGTCACCCCTCCCCACCGATGGTGAAGAGGAACTCAGATCTACGGAAGCAGACGTTTGGCAGAAAATGAGTGGTAAGCCATTCTCTAACACTTATTAGGAGCAAATAAACGAACAATTGAAACATAAAGTTTTTGAAATAAGGTAAAAATTGAAAGAATAACATCGGAAACTGTCATTATATTAGTTACATTTTCAATTAACTGATTCGAATCTCGCTATTGGTTCCACACTATTGATTCTTACTCAATATTCACATAAGCATTTACTTTGTTGACTTAATGTCTGATTCTAAAAATATGTTTGTAGGTTACATATCAGAGATACTACTTCAACAGAACGTGATAAGTTAGCGCAAAAAGTCGCACTTGTACGTTAGCTTCTGCATGTAAGATTTGAAGATACTGCGCATGCTCACGTTAATTTTAGATGCTACGTTATGTTGGTGTAGTTTATTCCACGAAGACAAAGCTACTGGCACGCTGTTTATAGCTAATAAATGCTGTTTTCTGTTTAAGCCGACCTTCAAACTGAAGACATGGAATGAGAATTTGAAGAAATGTATTTAACTCGTAGGTTAGATTTTCTGATACTTAATTAAAACAAGAATAACAAAAAACTTCGTTGAAATTATGAAATTCTCTTTTATTTGCAACCCGGGAAGAGGTTTACAGGATCTCTCTGGTTCATACCTTAAAAATAAACTCACTAACTTGTATAATAAAAGTTAAAAATGAAAAAAAAAAGAATTCTAAAAAAATTATCAAACAGCAGTGGTCGCCATAGCAACGCATGCTAAGAGGACGCATGCGCACTATGTACTGTGACTCTTGAACAGTATTGACGAAATTTAGAAATTAATCGTGCTATATAACTACTGATTTACCTATGTAATTTAAAGCAAACTACTGTAAATTATTTGTGGACCTCATGCAGGAACTAAATTTCTTTAATCTTCGGTCACAAATCTAAATAATATGCCTCATTCTTTCTTTATCCCTGACTTCATCAAAATCTACCAAATATTTCTCCTCACAAAACAGCAGTTTTACATCGAGCAAAGAATCTTGAGTCGTATGCTACAGCTTTGTAAAGATCGTCTACGCCTATTGTAAATGTTTGTTTTGATTTTGTGGTTCAAAGTTAAAATGACATTCCACTACGATAGCGTTTTTTACTTGCGGATTTTGGCAAAATCTATTATTTTCCCTTACGAAAGTTCCATATTTTATCAATAGTGCATGCGTACTAGAAGTGAGCATACACAATTACTTAAAACCTTACGTACAGAAACTAACGTGAATTTGCGAAATCTCCCTATTATAAACATTTCGTTAAATATTCCCGACTTGATCTGTCATGATCCCTTACATAGAGGTACTGATCTCAAAATAAAAATAGTTGAAAGGAAACAAATCAAAAATTTTAAAAATTCTTCTTTTTTCTCTTTATAGGTGTTATAGATCGAACACCAATTGGGAATTATTTAAAACATAATTAAAGTTGCTTAAGGTTGAGTGCTTTAATTATTGAAACAATAAAAAAAAAACTTAATTTAAACCATTTTTTTAATAACAATAATAAAAAAGGATAATAATAAAAAATTCAACTGGCAACTCGAAATTAGCAATTTTGGAGCTCGAATATGAATAAACAGAACGTGTAAAAAAGAAAAGAATGAGTAAATAAAATGTTTTTTTCTTAGAACTAGTGACGCCATCTGTTGGCGTTTATTGAAGTTACGGTCCACCACACTCTTCAAGTGGACTAAAAACACAAATATTGGCATCACCCCTACAATCCAAAAACACTTCGAAAAGACATACGCTGAGGGGGGGGGAGGGTAATTGAAGTGATTGCAAAATCAGAGAATAGTTCTTGTGAAATGAAATTTTGAATATACGAATTTTTGAAAATGTTAGAACTCAGAAACTATCTGACTGAACGTGCACAAACTTTTGTATTTTCCCATATAAAACTACATTCTTTAAAAATGATGTAAAAATTTTAATAATTGTAATTAATTATTTTTTTGAGTTCAATTAAAAAAATATATAAAATAACAAATAATTATATTAAAAAACGTTCTTGC